TCTCCTAGATCCTTAGTCCTATACTAGCATGTTGTTCTACTGAAACTGAAACTGAACAAATAACTTGTATGGGTAATTTGGGAGTACTTACTTGAGCTCGGCTGATTGCATGCACCACACCCTTTTCTCGTTTTCAAAAAAAAATCTTTTCTTTCGATGTTCTTTTTCCAAAACCCTTTTTCAAAAATGTTTTTCTTTTGAAAATCCTTCATCGTGTCCTTAGTTTGAGTTCAAATACGCTCGAATGCATATCTGAATCCCTCAAACCAAGGCTCTGATACCAACTTGAAACGACCCAAAAATTTTGTTTTTCGATATATTCAAAACCATAATCAGAGTGTTATATAATAAAACCATACGCGATATATCCCAATCATAATAAAAATACTGTGCGGAAAACTGTATCATACTATATCAAATCAAAACAACTAAAACAATCCCCAGGATAAAAGCTAAGTTGTGGTGTGTGCGATGCTATCACCCCGAGCTCTTCCCTTTGCTTGCGGAAGTACCTGAAACCAAAACTGAAACTGTAAGCACGAAGCTTAGTGAGCTCCCCCAAACTACCACATACCATACAATAACCTAGAAACACATATTGGGTCTAGCCCACTGCATCGGGCCGAAGCCCGCCAAACTGCATCGGACCGAAGTCCGGAACTGATTGGGACCTTGTCCCCTGCATCGGACCGAAGTCCAGAACTAACTGCATCGGACCAAAGTCCGGAACTAACTGCATCGGACCGAAGTCCGGAACCGACTGGGACCTTGTCCCCTGCATCGGACCGAAGTCCGGAACTGACTGACTGAACATGGCATAGCATAACACATCATCTAGCATGAACACATATACTGCATACTACACCGGGCCGTAGCCCGGAACACATAACACTTAACACATAAAACATAGCACACAAATCCTGTCTGAGCCACGAAGGCATCAAACATGCTAGCTACTGCATCGGACCTAAGTCCGGAAACTACTGCTAACTGAACGGGCAGGCGTTGTGGCCTTAGACCCGTTCCTACTGGAAGGAAACTCACCTCGTAAACTGGCTGCTGAGTGTGTGGCTCTGGAAGCTAACGACTGCTGCTCCTGTATCTCCCCGGCTACAAGTCCATAAACACACTCAATCAAATACTAAACACTGCACTTAGGTAAAATGACTCTTTTACCCTTGGTCAAAGTCACTCTCATTTGGACTGACTCGCCGAGTTGGGCCACCCAACTCGCCGAGTCCTACTCTCACTTTTCAATCCTACTCGCTGCTACTCGTCGAGTATGGCATCGACTCGACGAGTACCCTCTTGATCCAAGAACTCAGACAATCTTCGTCCGACTCGTCGAGCCGTATGAACATACTCGACGAGTTGTTCTTGATCTTAAGAAGATTGCCTTGGACTCGCCGAGTTGTATGAACAACTCGTCGAGTCCCTCCATTACTGAGTCTACCCTCAACTCGCTGAGTCCACTCTCTAACTCACTGGTTCCACTCGACACTGCTAAAAAGGACGGAATCGGGGACTCGCGACTCGACTCGCTGAGTCGTTCTTCCCGACTCGCCGAGTTGCCGCCATGCAACTATTTTTCACTCGATTTTGCTTGAATCCAACACATACAATTGATAGATCTGAGTCCAATAAGCTGGTTTACCACGTAAAGTTTCCAACTTTACGTGTACAACACATGAATAAGGGAAAATAAGGCTAAAAGATGCATAAAAGGGATAGATCTAGGGTTAATATGCAAAGTATCCTCATAAAGGCAATAGATCTGGACTATGGGACTTCTCAATGAATAGATCCAAGGTTATCTCGGCTTATTAGGGCGTTCATGAAAGCACAAGGCTTGGAACAAGCATCAACTAGTTCTTAGAAGAGTTCTAATGGAGGTCTAAAGCATAAAACAAGAGGGGAAGTCCGAAAATACCTCCAATAACTCAGATTTGCCCTTGGATCTTTGCACAACTCTTCTTCTCCTTGCTCCTTTCTTCTTCCCCTTTTTCTCACAGTGTTCTAAGGGTGAAGGAGGCAAGAATGGGGCTATAAGGTGGCTTAAATAGTGGGCAACCCGGGGATTTAGGGTTTCACCCAGACGAATGGACTCGCCGAGTCCGGGATATGGACTCGCCGAGTCCCCAGCTCACGCGTGCTCGAAGTTGCGACCCTACTCGGCGAGTCAGGCTATGAACTCGCCGAGTCCCTCTTGCAAAACTTTAAAACAATTACTAATGAATTAACATACCGGGAACGGGTCGTTACATAAATAGGTAAGATTCACTTTCTTAATTTACCAAAAGGTTACTAATTAGGAAACACAAGTTTAATTAATAAAAAGTTTCGAATTTTCAGATGTATTTGATTTTCTTAATTTTGAATTTTCATTTTTTTAATTAATTAGATTATAATTCTAAGATAATTCTGTTAGAATGATATTGTATGAGAATGTCAGATCATCTAAAATAAATTTTTTGAATGAATGAATATTTTGAAGACAAACAATAGTTTTGAACCATCAGTTTAAAAATAACCTTAAAAACTTCTTGGAGAAAACAGAATTAAAATTCGTGATTCCATTCGAAAAGTAAACATCAAAATCTAACAACGAGTACTACATTCTAAAAGAATAATGTTGTCCGTTTCAATTTTGTGGTCCGTTCTTCAAGCATCAACTTCTGTGATTCCAACAGAATTAGAATTCGTGATTCCATTCCAACAGAATTGGAATTCGTATCTTACCTAACCAATTGCAAATAAAATCATATTCCCCAGCATAAACAAGCATCTGAATACCATCTTCCAAAAGCACTGGAATCCCAACCTTGAAGTTGGAACACAAGAATACCCCGTTTGACTTAGGAAAAGTCAAAATTGAACCACTTCACATCTATCAGGAATCCTGATTGGCATCCACTAAACCCGATGTATGTTCTAAATTCAATTCTGATCGTGATTGATCCGGATTTTGAAGATATGATTTCGACTTCCAATGAAGCTTGCTATACACAAACCAATTTTCTATCCTTTGATACTCGAACAGTGAACGATAATACTGATTTTTGCTTCTGAATGATTTTAGTTGCAACATTCAATCCCAAGTTAGTAATATTCGAAATCGCTGAATGTTGATACGATCGATTTCTATTCGAAATAGATTCTGGTGAGTTCGGTGGCGATGGTGGCTGATGGTGTTGGTCGGTGAACGGACAAGCTCCAACCACTTATGTTCTTCAATCATCGGCATTGGTTAGGTTGAAAAAGTAGGGATGGATCGGTGATAAAGAAGCAGTAACGGTTTCAAGGGATTTAAAGGAAAGCAATCCAATATTTTAGGGATTAATTAAATTTTTATTTAATTAACAAAATTAATTAATAGGTAAGATTATATATCCTTATTTAAGTTTATGAAATGATTGGCCCACATTTATGCATACAATAACACAATAATTAGTTTAAACAAATGAACCTAACTCTCTCTCTCTCTCTCTCTCTATATATATATATATATATATATATATTTGATAGAATTACTAATTTTCAAATTAAACAACAGATTGAAATTATCATAATGCAAAATAAAATACCATATATAAGAACGATAATTCCTTTCAAAAAAATATCACATGTCAAACGAGTTACATAACGTTACATGTCAAACAACACTACCTGTCAACACGAATAACACTTAAAAACATGCTTTTTCCTTCATTTGGAGCACCCGCTATTCCTATATCAACAACCAACTTTAGGTCCAATTCCAACCACCCATAAAAGAACAGCAGCATTGTAAAAGAACAACATTAGAAGATCAACATTTGCTTGATTTGATGATTCAACATTAGTTGCCCTTGGACTTATTCCTCTTAAAAAGATATATATATATATATATATATATATATATATATATATATATATATATATATATATATATATATAGCTTGTGTGAACAGCAGGTCCACTAGATGCTTCATACATAATATAATACATTTCAAGTCTAATTTTGATGATAACAAACTTGAAACTTTTAAAATAAGAACAAACCTCTAGTGGACCTTCCAAGACCCTCAAAGTGTCATTCATATATGAACTTTTTGTTGCTTGTTGCGTCTTTTGTAGAGGTTATTCCAGAACCATCTGCACCTTGGCTTTTCATCTTTATTTGATCACTCTTCTTTTTTGTGTGTCACTGGTTCTAAAGCTTTAGAGCTTGTGTATTTTCTACTCTTTGTAGGAGGAAGACCAAAACTTGCATCATTATTAGACTTTGATTTTTCTGTGAAAAAAGTAAAAAGTGTTGAAAAGTAACCTAGATTGTTAGTTGGCATGTTAATGTTTGTTAAATATATAAGTTACTGTTAGTATTATAAGTTAGTTCTGTTAAGAATGGCAGTTACATGTGAACCATTGTATTGGTTCATGAAACGTTGCGATGGGTGGGTTACACCCAACTGTTTCTGGTATTTTATATATATTAGTCATATGTATTAGTATGGGTATTGTACGTATTTATCATATTAATAAAAAGTCAAATTTGATGTGTATCTTATCTTCTATTTGACATCCTTATCTTTATCCCCAACAAAAAGATAATTTAAATCGGTAATTTTTTCAAATGAAGTAGAAAAGTAAATTATTAGAAAGAATGTAAATTCGGGCTCACCTGTGGATCCGAATTTCTGATGCAAATCCTGTTAAAAAGATGTTTCGTGTAATTGTTACTAATTAAATATCATATTACTAAATAAAGTTTTATAAAAGAATAACTTACAGTTGCAAGGTTGAAATCTATGAGATAGCCCTTGGAAGCCCTGAGAGAGAAAAGGAAATTTCCAGGCTTAATGTCTATGTGAACTACTCCCCGAGGACAAAATCGGAATTAAATATTTTTGATATGGGAAAATTCTCTTTGATTAAAATAGTTACCTATTTATGAAGACTAGAAAATGCTTTGAATAAACAGTAGTCATACCACCGGAGTTGTTGGACATCTATTTCTCTCTTCAAGACCTAAACAAAAAAGAAAGAAAAGCTTAAGGATATTAACAAGGGGAACTGTTACTTCCACGGACATTTTTGATAATACACTGATTTTTTTTAATGAAATTGACAATTATACCCTTATTTATATTTAAACTTGTAATTGTTACTCAAATGCAAACTCCTGCAATGGCGTTTGCGTGGTTCTTGGTTTGGTATAATGGTTTACTAAAATTCTGCATTTGAAAAATACACTTAGGGGCATAATTGTCAAATTCCTCTAAAATCAGTGGACTAGTTTGATTTGTTGCATTTTATTTTCAGCATAGCAGGACTAGTTTGAGATTCAAATAGATAACTAAAAACTCAGAAAATTGTCCCATCATTTGAGCCGCTGCTTTTTATTTTTTCAAATATAGTTCATGTGCTTTTTATCATGTGAAGACCTATATCCAACAAATTCTTCACACGGTGATTTTGGTAAAATCATCGGCTAAGAGTAATCAACTGAAACAGTTTCACCCAAACTTGTGATGTCGATTGTTATTGGAGTTTCCAGTCTTCAATATTACAACGTAAACTGACTTGCACCATTATTTTTTTTTCAAGAATAAGTTTATAACTACCAAGCTCTTGCTGCAGACAAATCAAAGAATCAGATAATTGACAATTCATACAATAAAAAATTTCCACAATTCATACTCATGTACAGAGAATCATAGAGTCATACGCACACACAGAATCAATATGTTCAATTCATCAAAACTTTAAACTTTGACAATTCATTCGCATAGCAATGACAGTGCTTGAGAATCAGAGATTGAAAATTCATACACATACACATGGTTTTAACATAATTAGATCATGAGAATCACTTACCATTTGAGAGTGAGATGAAGAATCTGATCCGATAAGAAAGCAAGATCGAATAAGGAAGGAACGTCGTTAGCCCTGGAATCTTTTTCCCTGTAATATTTAAAAACTTAAATGAAGGGTATAATGGGCAGTTCAAATAAATCTCAGTGGATGGATTAAAATTTACAACCTTGTAATTTTAAACTCAGTGTTCATATTTGTTTTCATTACCTGAACCTTCTTCTTCCTCTACAAATGGTGTCTATAGTTTACAAGAAAAGTATATGACAAATGGTGTCTATAGTTTACAGGAAATTGCCACTTGTAGCAGATTAAAGAAACTAAATTTGATACCATATTCTCCTTGCTATCTTCCTCAAGTAGCATCTTCCAAAGCACTGTTGAATAAATTATATATTTATATTCATACACTGTATAAAAAGATATTCAAATTTAAAATAAAATGTTAATAGGGAAATTGAGATGCATACCGAGCACCTTTTGCAAGTGCATCAGATGCAGGTTGTGAACTCCCACATTCATTATATAACTTAGAAGCACTTCTGTAAAAATCAGCAACTTCATAATATTGAGTTGTTTTTCCAGCCTAAATTACCTATTAAATAAATCTTTTACCAGTGTAGGTAGAAGGTCTGCAGCATTGAGTGGAAGTCCAGCCCCATCAACCATCCAGGGTTTTTTATTAGATAATTCGTTTGCCTGTGCTGCCTTCACTCCAGTAGTAATTAATTCGTTCAATCTTGCCTAAAAGAGCATTAAAAAAAACTTAAACTTATATAAAGTAAAAAAAATCATAAAATAATTGGTATATTAAGAGGTAACATGGTACAAGAAAAACAACCTTAGCTTCTTCCATTTCAATACTTGCATTATCAAGTCCATCTAACATTAATGAACCCTTGCTAACAAGTGAAACCAATGTTGGTGTTAATTGTCCTTCCAAGTCTAGGAGCCCCTTGGCAAATGCAGCAGATTACATCTGTCAAGATTGATAAGTCATCAAATGGGACCCACAAAGAATAAAGTAGAAAAATTGAAGATGATATTGATACCTGCACACGACCCTCATCAGAGCTGTAAATTTTAAGGTCATGGCGATATGTGCTATGAAGTCGAAGGAGTCCAGTATCTTCACCTGGATACATAGTGTTGCGAAAATATCTTCCAAGTTCTTCAGACTGTAAATAAAAAATATGTACATGACTAAAGAAATATAAGAACTTACCCAACTTCACCTCTCCTTGTTTAGTTAAAGAAAACATGAGAAAGTAAATCTAGAGTAATATAAAGAACATATTTTTATCAGAACTTACCCAACTTCACCTCTCCTTGTTCAGTTAATAAAATATTACCTCCCTTAATATCACGATGCACCTTGAAAATCGAGTGCAAATAGGATAAACCCTTCAATGCTTCAGTACATATATATTCTATTTGGTACTCCTCTAAAGCCTCATCAGTGACATTCATCACATTAGCAACACTTCCTCCACCACAATACTCCATTACAATCTGCCACCACATGGAATCATCATCAAAAATAAATAGAGAGATGAACACAAATGATGGAAAATATACAATTATTATGGGAAGAACATAAGTGAATGATGGAAGAGTGTTCATACCCAAAGATACTCCTCACCCTGATAGTTTCCTAAATAACGAACAACATTAGGATGATTGCATTGCTGCAACATCTCTATTTCACATGAATACAACCTTAAAAAAGTGACACATATCTTCCAAGTTTTCTTGACTTTAGGAATTTCATGAGATCGAATGTCAAAGTTCTTGAGCACCTGTAGTGGAAATAAATAAGAAAAATTCATATTAATTCATATAAAAATGATGAAATCTGAAAAATGATGAGTTCATAAACCTGAATAAAAATGATCGACGGCGTATGGTATTTTCAGGACCATACCCACCCATTCATCCTCTCCGAATAAGGGCTGAACCCGAAATCCACTTTCACTCAACCTGAAATCGACTTCTTCAAAGGCACCGATGGGAGGTACATGTTTGCCCTAGATCCTGAACTCCCACCGGATTTTGTCCTAGACATCTTGCTCTTCCGTGCGTCGACTTTCTTCCTTGTGCCACTACGATAACGCAGACGTACCTACGAGAGTCGGTCCTCAAAAATTTCAGTTTCGGGTGATTCTGAGGTGGGACCATCGGTAGAGGAAGAATCATCGAGCGTTGCTTTCGTTGTGAAGGAGAAGTTTAGGGGGAGCGGCGCGTGGGATCTGAGTGGGGACAGAGGGAGTGGTGATTAGAAGAGAGGGTTGGAGAACACCGGTGTTATAGAAGTAGAACCTCTCCTTTGGGACTTGGGTGTGGTTGCTTTGCACTTTTAATAATATTAAGGTTAAAATTCACCTTAATAGGATACGGCTTGTAAGTTTGAGCAATAGAAGAAGTAAGCCTAAGGTCGTCGGACTTGATGTTGCCGACAAGGGGAGGCGAGGTATAGTGATTAGGGTTTGTAAAGAGAAAGGAAGAAGAGAATGAAGCGGTGTATTTAAAATTTTTAGATTTTAGGAGGATTTCATTTCCCCCTTTTGAGATTGTGCGTTTTGAGAAAAATTATAAAGCGACATTCAAAGAGGACGCACATTTAAAAAAAGCGCAGTCCGTGTTTGTAATTTTTATTTGTGGGACAATATTTTTAGGGCTCGCATAAATGCGTGTCCTCTATCCTTCAAAATTTGGAAGGCTGACATTAATTTTTAGGGCACGCACAAATGTGCGTCCTCTATCAGTGTGTGTCATTATTTGCGCTTCGTAAAATGCTGTTTTTCTAGTAGTGTGTTTTGATGCAGAGGGGGCATGTGATCGTGTACACATTGAGGAAATTGAAGCCTCATGAGGCAAACTACCCCACTTACGACCTGTAATTGGGGGCGGTGGTGTTTGCCCTCAAATTCTGGAGGCATTAATTGTATGGAGTGCGGTGCACTATTTTATACTGATCACAAGAGTTTGAAGTATTTGATGGATCAGCAGAACCTCAACATGTGACAGAGGATGTGGTTGGATGTACTGAAAGATTATGACTGTGAGATCTTATACCATCCATGGAACGCCAACGTGGTGTCTGATGCTTTGAGTCGCAAGGCAGCGGGGTCTCCAATCGAGAACGTTTGTTTGAGGATGAAGGTAATCTCTCCGTCATTGGATATGATCAAGGAGGCTTAGGTGGAGGGTTTGAAGAGAGAAAATTGGAAATTAGAGAGCATTCGGGGTCAGATTCCATTGTTTTTTCAAGATGGTCGAGGTGTTTTGACACAGTGTCGCCGAGTGTGGGTTCCAGCATCTGGAGGAGCGAGACAAAATATATTGGAAGAGGCACACAATTCCCTAGTTCTCTGTACATCCAGGGGCAACAAAAATGTATAGAGACATGAGACTGAGTTGCTGGTGGCCCTGCATGAAGCGGGAGATCGTTTGGTTTGTGGAGCTGTGCTTGACCTGTAGGAAGGTCAAGGTTGAACACTAGAGGCCTCATGGTAAGGTTCAACCGCTACCCATTCCCATGTGGAAATGGGAAGAGATCACCATGGACTTCATCATGAAGTTACCGAGGACAACGAGGGGTGTGGATGTCATATGGGTTGTCATAGACAGATTGATGAAGAGTGCCCATTTTATTCGGATCCCCGAGAGTATCTCTGCTGAAAAATTAGCAGATATTTGTGTGAGAGAGGTGGTGGTTAGGCACGGGGTGTCGGTGTCAGTGGTCTCTGATCGGGATGTCCGGTTTACATATAGATTCTGGAAGAAGTTCCATGAGGAACTGGGCACACAGTTACACTTAAGCACTACATATAACCCCTAAATAGACGTCTAGGACGAGCGGACGATCCAGACGCTCGAGGATATGCTTCGAGCATGTGTACTGGACTTCGGAGGGAGTTGGGATACATACCTCCCACTAGCAGAGTTTTCATATAACAACAGTTACCATGCTAGTATCGACCGACCCCCGTTTGATATGTTGTATGGTCGGAGGTGTAGGACCCATTTTGTTGGGGTGAGGTTGGACACCGAGTCATGGGGAGCACCGAGTTGGTGTTCAAGACTACCGAGTTGATTCAGCAGGTGTGCGGCCGACTCCGAGTCGCACAGAGCCATCAGAAAAGCTATGCTAACTGGCGCCCACCACATCTTGAGTTTCAGGTGGGGGACTTTGGTTTGGTAAAAGTGTAGCCATGGTAGGGGGTCATCAGGTTTTGAAAGAGGGACAAGTTAGGGCCCCGATACATCGGTCTGTTCAGGGTTTCTGCCCAGGTGGGCAAGGTGACTTACCGTTTGGATCTTCCGGACGAGCTTAGCAAGATTCACAGCACCTTCCATGTGTCACAGCTTCGAAAGTGTGTCACTGACGAGGCTGCAGTTATTTTATTGGATGACATTCAGGTTGATGAGAGACTGAACTACTTTGAGAGACACATTTCAGTTTTCGATAGGAAGACTAAGGCTCTTCATTACAAGGAGGTGAAGTTGGTGAAGGTGCAATGTCAGCACCGAAGATGCTCTAAATGGACATGAGAGCCGGAGGATGACATGCGGGAGCATTATCCCGATCTGTTTTCATCTGTTGATTTTGAGGATGAAGTCTAGTTCAAGTGGGGAAGAGTTGTTACACTCAAAATCAGGTATTACCTTTGGACCCCTTGAAATTATAAATATTGCATAATGATCCCTTAAGTACGCTGAGCGTACTTCAATAGTACGCTTAGCGTACGATGCATGGATGATCATGAAGGGCAAGCACGTACATTGGGCGTACCAAAGGGTACGCGGGGCGTACGTGACGAATGTTAAAACCCTAATTTCCAGTCATAAGACCTATATAAGCATCTTTTTTCTCATTTAAGCTTCACCCAAACCACCCTCCCTAACCCTCAAACGTCCCTGAAAACCCTAAAATCATTAGTGTATGTGTGTGTGTTCTTGAGCTTGTGAGTTTTTAACCACCATCCTTTTGGTGTTTTAGCGACAAGGAAGAGGAGGAATCAAGCTTGAACGAGGAAGAGCTTCTGGATCTTACATTTTGAGCAGTTTAGGAAGCTTGAGGAGGTAAAAAAAGCTTTCACCTTGATCATCATTTCCATTCTTAGAGCTAAGGTTTTCTCTTTAGTCCCTTTTTGTGTTCTTGGACCACCTCGTGAGAGTTGAGCAACTCTAGAGCTAAGGGAGGATATAGTTAAAGTCCTTTAGTCCATTAATAGCATAAAAATGGAGTCTTGATGGGTGTTTTGACCTCATGCACGGATTAAGACTCTTGGAAAGGTCTTAGTGGGTTGTTAGGAGCATATGGAACATGCAAAGGCATCAAGTTGCCAACTTTATGCCTTAGGACGTCTTAACGGACTCAGATCTAAAGATTGGATGTTGGAACATCAACTATTAAGCACTTAAACGAAGAAGGTTCTTAATATGTTTGTACGTTGGGCGTAGTATAGCGTATGCAAAACGTACAGCTCATGGACTCAATACGCTAAGCATACAGGAGTGGTACGCAGGGCGTGTGCACTCAGATCGGCTTGGACTTCTTTTAGGCTTGTAAGCCCTTTGGACCCTAATCAGTCATTGGGCCTGGTCATGTTTTGAGTTAGTGGGCCAATTTATCTGTTTTGGGCCATGATTGCCATGGTTGGGCTTTATTGGGCCATGAGGCCCATGAATGATTTTTGGACATGGACTTTGGGCCCATCAGCAATTGGGGACTTTTGGGCCATTAGGAAAGGACTTGGGGCTTGGGTCCTTTAATTGGATTATGTTCAACCCTAATCTTGGGTTAGTGGTATTATTGCTCATCATGGGTATTCACAGACTATTAGGAGAGCAACTTTCGAATTCAGCAGGCAGAGGTGAGTCTCCTCACCATACCAATGGGTCGAAGGCACCAAGGCTGGCCCATTGTGTGTTATGTGGAATGCTAGTTGATTGTGTGATATGCGATATGATAGTTATACTTGTGATATTAGTGTGGATGACCCTGGGGGGTTCCCATGGTAATAGACTAAGACCATGTGGGGGGTTCCCATGGCATTCAGTGTAAGACATTGGAGGGTTTCTGTGACAACCGTCAACTTTTGGTAAAGTCAAAGTCAACTAAAGTCAACGAGTCAAACCGGTCAACTCATCTAACCCTTTAATATTAGGGTTTCCATTATGTTTCTTATTGTACAACTCGCAATCTTAATACAAAGTATCATTTAGAGTTTTCACGTGTTCAGAAATTCTAAACCCTAATCAGTGTAACTGATCGATCAACTCAATAAAATATTAATACATACCCTTTGGGGGTGTATAATGCTTATAACAAGGCAAAACAGGGTTTACGAACCTTGTGTGGCGAAGCTAAATATCCAAAAAGTCACAAACGAAATCTCTCCCAAATCTCTCCAAGTATGTGAAATCTCTCTAAGTATGAGAAATCTCCCCCAAATCTCTCCAAGTATGTGAAATCTCTCCTAAATATCTCTAAGTATGAGAAATCTCTCTAGGTATGTGAAATCTCTCCCAAATCTATCCAAGTATGTGAAATCTCTCCCAAATCTCTCCAAGTATGTGAAATCTCTCCCAAATCTCTCTAAGTATGAGAAATCTCTCCAAGTATGTGAAATATCTCTAAGTATGAGAAATCTCCCCCAAATCTCTCCAAGTATGTGAAATCTCTCCTAAATCTCTCTAAGTATGTGAAATCTCACCCAAATTTCTCCAAGTATGTGAAATCTCTCCCAAATCTCTCTAAGTATGAGAAATCTCTCCAAATATATGAAATCTCTAACAGATCTCTCTCAAAATCTCTCTCATCTTTTTATAATCACTTGGGGCATTTCGACCCTTGAATTAGCCAAAAACCGCTCGAAAACGGAAGTTTACGCGAAAAACAGCTTTAAGGAGCCGAACCCTCTTAAGGATCCGAACCTAGCTTAAGGGCCGAACCCTCTTATAGGAGCGAAACCCTCTTAGAGCCGAAGCTCCTATTAGAACCGAAGTCCCTATGAACCGAAACCAATCCTCAGAAGACTGAAGGTCCCTTCGGACCGAACTACTAGCCAGCTTCGCCTTCGGTCCCTTCTGATGAGATCGTCTGTGAGACAGCTCAGACCAAACCTCCTCCTTCTCGGTTCCAATACACCAACCGAACCATGCCTTTGGTTCTAATGCTTCTAAGACCG